CGCATGAACCTACGCACTTGGTTATGAAGTTTCATAACTAAGATTTGTTACATTTAAAACTTTTCTAACGTTGTAAAAATGTAATGAATGACTTTAAAGCCCACTCTAGCAACTGCTAAACTAACCAATTAGCTATCTTCATTTGATTAAAAAATTACCTTTCTAGCCGAAATGGAGAAATTTAATCGGTTATTATTTCAGTGGTTGCTGGAGTAGCCTTTAGAGTAACCCAGTCTAATCTGTGCATGCTTGTTTCATTTCAGGATTGAAACGTATGTTTCTTGTTTGTGGTCCAGGATTGCAAAAGTTATCTTTAATTGGTTGCACTAAAGGACCATTTGATCATGATCTACCGCTTCGGCTAGTTGCAGATCACTGTCATAATCTAAAACATGTCAATGCTAGTTATACACAAGCAGTACGTGATCAAACTGTTATTGCTCTAGCCAAATCTGCTACACATTTAATCAGTGTAAAGCTAAATGGTGCACAACAAATAAGTAATGCTGCTATCCAACAGTTGGTTCATTATCATCAACGTACTCTTGTAAGTAGATTAGTAAATAATTACTACACCACACTCACTAATGTTAACAGCTTTTTTATGTTTACAAAGTTAAACTGCTCTAGGCATGATTTATTTCAACAGGACCAGAGAGTAATTCCTTCTATCAATCATGGTTCTACAACTAATGTCAGTCTATGAGAAACAGGAACTTGAAACCAATAAAATACCCTTACAAACCGTTAAACTGAATTACTGTCCAATGCTCAGTCGCGACCAGTGGAGTAAACCAAGTCGGACGTAAAGACAGGCAATCAACAATGGTGTTGGATGGAGTTCGCGCTAGATCACGAGTGGACAGAAGGAAGAAAATATGGGCTACTGGATTCTGACCGAGTGAATCAATGCTAACGTGCTTACAGTAGAACCTGAAGGTCGTGGGTTCGATCTCTCACTGGTTCATGAGTGCACATTGCTGAAGAGTCTCGTGCTAGAACGAAACAGCTATCTAGTGCCTCCAGATTTTCAATGGTCCCCCAACTGATGTCAGTCTTTGACGAACGCCAACTTGAAATCGTTAAAATCTCACAAACCTGCAAATTGAAGTACTCCTTGTTATCAGTCTAGTTGTATTGTGCCTAATGTTATCATTATTACCACATATTACCATCTTTAATTTTTAGTTACACTTGATTTTATGCCGAAATTTATCATAAGTGATGTCGTACCATGAGGGTTATTTTAACCAGTTGTACAGCAAGCTGCAACTAGTGGTCGTACTTCCGCTTGTTGTAGTAAAATGTTTCATGCTCGGAACCGTAAGCAAAAGCATGTGTTGCGCACACTCATCTCTGAGTGTAGAAGAATAAGAATGAGGCAAACTGTCACCCAACAGCATTATTACAGTTTCGTACTAAGTGGCAAACGTTTATCATATTTATATGTTGTTATGAATGGTAGCAATAGTATGGAATCTTCTGTTCTCGTAAAAGTACAGATGTTTTAGAAACTGTATACTGCCATACATGTGTAATTATCTCCATTCTCTTTATCCTCATACTTGACTATGCCCTATTTCCATAGCTCTGTTAACCGTTCGCTTTGGAATAGGAGTATATTAAGTTTACTCCCACTGTTTCAACTATTGGTTTTGACCCGTATGCTGTTAAAGTCCAAGTCAGTCTTTTTGTTTTGTATGTTCTTAGACATTATACAACACTAGAAACCGAGAGGTTGGAAACATTAAGTGACACTTTCTCAGCATATTTACTGCTTAAATTCCTTCTACTCTTGAATATCGTATCTCTCAACTCCTCAGTTGCTTTATATGACGCTAGGTACCTTCGACTCCACAAGGATTGATTTACTCTCAGGAGTGCACCTGGTTTACTTGGAGAAGGCAGACGACTCCCCTTGTTAAATGAAGACCCTAACAACACCCTAAGTCTTCTAAACGCATTGGATAGAAATATGAGTATAGTTGGCATATACTTTGCAACTGTCAGGTTTGAGATTATGTGTTAGAACTGGTCTGCATCAACTTCTAGTTTAATGATTAAGATTAAAGTGGTTGAATGCACTGACCACTTCATTGCTCAGGAAGCTGCATCAGCCTAAATCGGTTGGTTGTAGACGAAATCTCAGGTCGAATACATAAGGCTAGTTTAACATTTGCCGACTTGTGTTATCTCTGGCTGTCGACCGACGATATATCCGACTAATTAAAGGACGAATATACTGTGCAGCAGTCCACTCTGTCCTACTATACGGCTGTGAGGCAGGCTTTGAAAGTAGAAGATTCGGAAAGATCACAGGTGTCTTTGTAGCTCTGGTCACGTGTGGTGTTATGGTCGTGTGAACAATACTAAGGTTAGGTGGAGGGCACGAGGCAAATTAGTCAATGTGGTTATGAAAGTTTACCCATTGGATTGTCTTGGATAGGTGTTGGGCATACTGAACCATCTCCTAGATCGATGGTGGACAGGCAAAAAGAAGGCTCAGAAAAGGTGAACCAAGGCATGATGCCAATCAATGAGGTTTCTAATTTTTGACCTGAGCTGTATAGGGAGTTGTAGGCTGCCTGGTTGCGGTTTTTGAGATAAAAGAATAAATGATTAGTGATTCTTGGTAACATAGCTGAAAATCATTCGCGGTTGCGCAGATGTATGCAGTCTTCGTTATCTTGAAAGCTGTGCACATTTCGTTAACCTTCATCTTTTTGTTTTGTCTCCCAGTGCACTTTTGTCTACTTTGATATCACTTTTTTCTACTCACGTGTTATTTGTACGCTGCTGTAGTTTGTGGCAACTTGAACCAATATAATTCTGCGCGAGATTCTACGTTCTTTTGTCAGTCTGTCATGGTTTATTTCCTCTCAATAGTAGTTGTGGTTCTCTAGCACCATTGGTTTAGGTGAGTCGGCTTTCAACCAGTAGTAAGTCAGTCAGTCATAATCCACCCCCTGAGCTTGAAACAGGTATATAGATTGGGTGTGGTTCATTGCCTAGTATGCTTCGATCGTAATTGAGCTGTATTTATTTTTTAAACATTATATGTGATCTTCTTTAAGAGGTTTTTTAAATAATACTATAAACTGATAAGATGAACTGTAACTAATCTGCGTGTCCTTATTCTCCTGCACACTGTTAAACTGGATTATTTCAAGCATGTACTTGAAAACTGTTTGATTAATTAATGTCTATTTAGTTCTTAAAGTTCTCACCATGTACATTATTGATTATTTTACCAATTGCTTATACTGTTCAATTTCACGCCTTTGACATGTATTGTGATTACAATGTTCATTACATCATGCTGTACGCAAAAATCAACCGAGCCTAATTCGCTAACTGTAAATTATTGGAGCACGAAGAAGTAGTAGTTAATTAAGAAGACTACAGTGGAAATTAAAGCATACTTTTTAGTTCAGCAGTACAAAAGAAGCCTACTGATGTGTTAATAATCAAATGAAAACACATTTTTAAAGTCTTTCTTGATTACTGTTCATTGTTAAGTTTTCATTTACCATTGTAAAATTCTGCTTGTTTTCACTTATCATGAAGGAACGTTTGGAGTTGTTTGGTTGTTTTCGCTTGAATTCAAGTATTTTTGCTCTATTGGGTCGTTGTCAAGAATTGAGAGCATTGGCCTTTGGACATCTTCATCATCTGTCCTCAGATGGTCTACTGGAACTTGTAAGCAAAGTAAGTTGATGATAATCATAGGTCTTGTTGCATTGTTACTACTATATCTAGTTTCTTTTCCAAGTCAGGTAAATTAATAGTTTTCCGAAGTACCTCATCTCAAGTCTTAGTCAAGCTTACTTCACTGAGTTCTGGCTCATCATTGCTGATTCGCTCAAATAATCCAAAATACCTATCTAGTTCCATCTACTGTTTCTATCTGAACTGTTTGTTGTAATCATCTGGTTTCTTAGCATAAGCTTTACAAATCTTTCCGAGCATATGATATACACGGATACGTTCGCAGTCTTCACTCTTGGCATGAATATACTATTTGATTTCCAGAGAGGTATAAGGAAGTTAATATAACCTCATTGTTTGTGCACGAGATTTTCTCCAAAATCATAATCGGGTTTCTTTTCTTTTGTGAATGGAACCAATATTTCTCTACTTTTCTACTAGATAAACAGTTTTTAACCAATTGATTTAGGTTTGATATGATTATTGTATACGAAAACAGAATTTCTCTCTCTCCTACCCCTTTCCAACCAACCAAACTTTCAAAAGCACGGATTTTTATACTTTCCTAACCTATCCGTTTTCCGATTTTGACTACAACACTGTCGTTGAAAATTGCGATTTTGAAGCGCTTGCATATCAACAGAACTGAATGAGATTTTACACTTCTAAGGAAGCAAGTAATGAAATTTATAGGGATTGTTTTCTAAAGTAGTGTCCGTCACGGACTAAAATCAGTTGAATAACCGTTAAAAACCTGGGAGCACTCGGCAGCTGTTTCGTCCTGTTGTTGGACTCCTCAGCAGTCCGCACCTGCATCTCTACCAGAGGTCGAAATCAGGACCTTCAAGTCTCGCGGCGATCGTGTTAACCATATTTAGCCACCTGGTTGAAGTCTAGTGGTCCACAATCTCTAACTTGTCTATATTAAGCGACTATCCATCAGGGTCCTCAGTCGGCATCTGCTTTACTTACGACTGGTTGACTCCACAAGTCCTGGCTTCTCATTAGAACTTCAAGATATCCATCTCAAAGCTTGTTACTAAGGCGTATTATACAGATTTTCAATGGTTTTACAACTGATATCAATCTGTGATGAATGCTATCTTAAAAACAATAATAGTGACTTTTAAAGGATACAGACTGAGATTTCTATTACTGGCTAGCTATTATTATTATGCAAGTGAATTAAAGTGCAGACCATATAAACAAATAAATATATCATGCGTAAGGTTAACACATGTTTGTTTTATTTCCACATCTACCACTAGTTTTTAATCAGTGTCATGCCGCCCTTCAAAGCTATCATGTCTACTGACCTATAGTCAGTCTTCACCTTTTACTTTTTTATGAGTCAGTCAAAATCATCATGGGACCTGGCATCGTTACGCAACAGTCCCAGTTGCCACACTTCGAATTTTCTCAAACCAAGATGATAGGTGGGGAGATAGGGAAAACACTAGTCACAATGATCATTTGCATACTGTGATGGACTGAACACACCAGTGACCTTGAATAGATACCACCGATTATTCCAACCGAAGCCTATAAATGAATGAACCAGCGTATCCTGTTTATAAAAACTGATAACAATGTCAAAAATACCTCAGATACATGTTACTGCTGAATGAGTTATCATAGTTTCATCTGTTAGCTTTTCGTTTCATAAATGCGGAATGACTTTGTGCACCTTTGTGATGGTTTCTGTTGACTTGCCTGTCACAGGAAAGATAACTTTGAACGACCAATCTGGAAGGGAAGGTACTAGGCAAGTCGATTAATGAGGTTGTGAGCCTTAGTCGACTGTGATGGTATGGAACTGTATTGCGCATACCGAACCACCACCTACCTTGACGTACCTTGTTAATGATAGCTGGATTAAGTTGGAAGCGGGAGACCAGACCAAGACCTGGCACCAGTCGATTAAGTCACTGACTGTTGGTCTGAGCCGTATAAGAAAATGTAGACTATCTGCCTGGAGTCCTCGAGACGATAGGAGTCAGTGGTTGAGGACTCTTGGGGACATGGTTGAAACTTTGTCCTAGTGGCGCAGATGTATTCACTTTTTATCGTCTTCTAAAGTTTAAATATTTTCACTAACCTTTATCATCAGATTGTTTATTCTTTGACACTACTTTATTTCCTTTGAAACCAGTCATTTTCGATTCACCTGTTCTTTGTGTACTACTTTGAAATGTGACAACTTGAACCGATGCACTTTCCTACGAGGTTCTACGTTGATTTTGTTAGTCAGTTTGTCTATGCTGTTCCTTCACTAGACTTTTGCAGAAAAGATATCTTGAAAACTTTTAAAGCCATGTATATAGCTATTTCAATATTTGCTAAAGCAACCTATCTTATTGAGATTTCTGAAGTGTCTGAATGCAGCGCCATGATTATAACTCCTCTTTTTCTCCCTGAGGATTAGAGTTTAAAAATTTTAGCATACCAGCACATAATTATAATTGTCGAAGCAGTGTGCATACTTTTATATACCCGTAACAAAAATATATTTGGAAAGGATAACCATTTCTCTTGAACACTTATTTAACCATCGGGGTAATTTTTCCTAAACACGATTGAAATAAAGGTTAGTCTAGACTCCTGCCACAGTTAATTCTCTGTTATGTTCACTAATTGGTTTGTTGTTTACCTTATTGAAAAAGAGTTATTGTCTGTAAATTTTCTAATTTGAATTGTGCTGTTATCATGTGGGAAAAAATAAAGTGATGAGTATCGAGAAAACCTTAAAACGGCGATTCAGCACATGTTATTTTCGCCAACGTAGTCATAACAAGCTGAAATCTACGCTTTATGGGCAGTAATTTATCTAGAAAATTGTACTAGCCTTTTGACTAACTACTAGAGGGAATTAATCGGTGTCACAACTCACCTATATCAATCATCTGTTTTTGTACAACTAAACTTAATTAACTAATCCAACTTGGCTCGCTACTAAGCTATGATTATTATTTGTCCCTTGGGTTCTAAGTGGAACATGGGGCTTCAGTAGCACATCGCCATTGCACTCTGTTCTCGGCAGTCTTTTGAACCTGGCTCCACCACTGCCCACAAGCTCTCGTTTCTTCCTCACATGATCTCCTCCATGTCACCCTCGCCTCGAACGCCCAACTCGTCATTTCCCCTTTGGATTCCACTCGAGGGCTTGGTCTGGCGCGTGATGTCCTTGAATGGTTTTCTCAGTGTATGTCCAATCTAATCCATCTGCGCTTTCTTCTGCATGTTTGTTGGGCTATAGGTTCCTGGTTGGTTCGTTCCCAGAGTTCCTCCTTGCTTATTCTTATTATTCTGGCCATCTGATCTCATCTTCAGTATCGAGTGAGCTAGCGTAGGCGGCAGCTGTTGATGAATGTCTGTAGTTTGTTGGAGGTGCTTTTGGTGACGCGCCAAGTCTCTGAACTACCACATAGAAACACTGACTTGACTGACATTGGTGTTGAAAATCTGGATGTTGTTCACGCTTTATGCTGAGTGAAGTGTAGTGCAGTAGATCTGCACACTGATTTCAGGTAAATGAGTGCCTACCTTGCTTTTCCGATCGTGGTTTTGATGTCCTGATGTGTGCCTGTGTCGCCTGTGGTTGGAGTGATGCTGCCTTCGTGAGTAGGTAGGTGAAAGAGATAGCTTCCTTTAAGTTTCTCCCGTTGATGGTGATTGGTGCTTGTTGTTGTTGTTGCTGTTGGTTGGGTATCCTCATCACCTCTGTCTTCTTTACGCTGACTTTGAATCCTGTCTTCGCCACCTCTTCTGCCAACTTGTGTACTAGGCCATGATTAGTACTTGTTGTGTTTTGTAACAGTTTACGACATTGTCGAAGAAGCTCGGGGAGTGGTGTTTGAACTCAGAATCCATGGCTTAGAAGTTGAATGCGTCAGTCAATGAAGCACACCTCAAAGACCCTTGAATCTGATGTAGTGAGTGAATCTGTTTTGTATAAAAACATCAGATGATGATATCCGAAATATCTAGTGTTCATAATCACAGAATGTTTCTCAAACGGTACCTTCTTTTGTCTTTTTACTACCCAAACAACTCTTACCTTAGCATCTTTTTTAGTTAGCACCACACCGTCCAGAGAACAGCGATCATTGAGTTGTGCCATTTTTGCAAACTTTCATCTTATTTAAAACGTGGTTCTTTTGTTGTACCTGACTGGCTGGTTTAACTAATATTGGATTATATCTATGTACTGTGTATGCATATGCGTTCCTTTTACTCAATTGAATCGGTATGATGTCTTTGATCGATCAATCTGCAGATTTTTCAACCTACCCTTGCGCAGATTTGTATCACTTATCAGGTTAGGTGATAAATTTGCGTAAATGGCCTATGTTGTAACCACTGTAGCCGACTCTAGACAAGCCAAACAAATAGAAAAATGCACAACCTCATACAAAAGTGCATTAATCCTGTTTACTGTAAGAAGCCGATTGCCTTCAACCAACTGACATCTATCAAAGTGCACTGCGATAGTGAACCTTCTAGCTTGGTCGTCATATTGAAAAATGATAGACAGAATTCGTTCAGCACTCAGGTCTGGAAAACATAAAATTAGTTACCTTCCAGTGACTATTCAATGTAAAATTGTTTTCTCCAAATTCAGGCTGAATAACAGTGATAAAAACAAATTCTTGATGAACAGTCCTATTCGGTATCAGGCTAGATAACAACCATTTTTATTATGCTCTGTTGAAACATAGATATGATAAGATCTTGGCCACGGTAAGGCGAATGGTGTATAGATAGGCATGGAAAGTCTTATATTGTTCACTTTTTGTATACTTCATTGCAATATTTATTGTTGAAGGCACCTTGTCCCCCTTTAATTTTATGTTCATTACTGGTAATATCCAGTGTACTCCTTCCTATTCTTCACATCGTATGGTTACGAATTCACGTTTCTCGAAAAACATTGTTTATTTACTTAACGATGTGGTCATTTTTTGTTACTAATGCTTTTAAAGTCGTCATTTCCGCGTCCTCGTTTGAAGTTAGCATCCATTTGTACTTTTGCGGTGAGAATGAATATTCTATTGTTGGGAAAGCTCTTGAATACAAACATTTCACTTTTCCCACTGGTCAATAACCTTTGCTTTCTCTTTTTCCCCCCTTAGTTACCTCATCTATCTTCCCTAGATTTACGAGGAACTCAGACTTTCAGTGATGATGGCAATCTTTCTCAATTGGCAGCTAAATGTCCTCATTTAGAAGAAGTTGTCCTTGCTAATATGCATTCCTTAAAACGGGAAACAGGAATTGCTCAAATGCTACGTCTGCTGCCGCGTTTACGTGTTTTGGATTTATGTGGTTTAGCAGCTGTTGGCGATTTAACTATGGAAGTTTTAGCTACTAGTTGTCCTCAACTAGAAGAATTAGATGTCAGTTGCACTTCAGTAACTCAAAAAGGGTAAGTTTCTTTTTTCTCTCCTTGGAATACAATTCTGTTCATAAGTGTTGGTTTTGGATGAAGTTTCCTTCTGTTTCCTTTACAACTGTTTTTTTCGCTATCAGCCTTTAAAATATCTTCCTCTCCTATTGACAACTTCCACGTCAATGTACTGATGTGAATTATGAAAAACCGTAGTGTTATGCATAAATGCCGGGTTTTGTATAATATGTATGTGCGTTTGTCTAGCTTGAACAGTCTTATAAGCCTGTCCATTATATCCATCTTTGTATGTTTCATGCAGAACCACTAAAAGAGTACTCATTTTTTATTCTCCCTGTCTGTGGTCATCTCGTGGATATTGCTGTGAGACATCAACGTTAAAAATAGAGTATATCAAGAGATAACACGTTTTCGAACACAGATGTATTCGTAGCATTACTCACCTACGATTGAATCATCAGATAAACAGTATCGAGGTTCGGCGAAGGGCACGAGACTAGGAAACCAAGTCGGTCAATGAGGTTGTGAATCTTTACCAACTAAGGTGACCAGCTAGTACATATGTTGAACATGCCGACTCACTGTCTATCTCGACTCCAAATGTTAGCTGAAGTAGGTTTGGAAGACGGCTTAGGATCGCCGAACCAATACGTGGCACCATTCCATGTGATCTCCAGCTGTTGGTTTGAGCCGTGTAGGTAGATGTAGAGTGGCTGTTTGAGGTCCCCAGGACCATGTCTACCAGTGGTTAGAGACCCTTGGTCAATTGGCTGAAAATCGGCCACAATGGCGCATTCATTGTTTAGCGTTCTCTGAAGTTTGAATGCTGTCACTGACCTTCGTTTTATGTTCTTTCTTCTTTCACATCACTTTCTTCCTACTCGCTTGTTCTTCTTATGCTACTGTGAATTGTGGTTTTTGCCATGTCACGGATAGTTTCTTACTTCGATTAGGACAATCGCATATTATCGTAAGCCTTCACATAGTGTGACTCATAGCCTACTACACATACATGCTCGGGGTGGTTATTGGTTTGCTTCAAATGACTTCTCCATGGTCTCGAAATCATTTATATCGTACAGTGAGTAGCTTCTCGCGTTAAATCACTTATTTAGATTCCCATAGACGCTATTTTAAAATAGTAATTATTTAACGATACAAGAAGTAGGTTAAATGTCTCTCTTAGAATTATATTTATCAGTTTTCTAGTGGATGGCTACAAAAGCCATTATAATGTGGATGCTATTTATCTTGATCTAAAGAACCGTGGCCTACTCCTCAATCGATTGTCACTTCATGTCCCGACCGATAGCTGCCACCTTGACGTATCGGTCGGGCTTTTATATCACAATGACCCAACGAGCTATGCTAATGGAACGCTTGTTCCCTCGAGGTCCTACCATACAAGAAAGGTCTGTTGGATAGTGGTTCGACAAAGAGCAGTTACCATTGTAGTGTAAATTCCTTCGCTATGATAGGGGTCTGAGGGGGGGGAGTCTTAGTGCTGACTAGATACGAGTGTGTCAACAGTAAAGTGTTTCCTTTGGATGACAAACGGCTCCACACGTACTGACTTCTCTGTGGGAGGCGGGGAGGGTGTTAGAAGATGTTAGTTCCTGAAAAAAACAGCACATGCTGGTGTAGATAGTGGCAATATATATTACTCGTTCACTTCAGCAGTATGGCGCTGCATGATTGAAAGGAAACGGGAAGACAGACGAAGGAAGGAATGTTTCTTGTTAATAAGTGGTACAGTAGTCCTTAAATATGGTCCACCTCGCCTAAGTCATTTGCAAAATGTGCTTCATTTCCTCTTCTGCTTCTCTTGATTTACTCTTCATACGCCCGCATTGTCTCTTGCGTTTCTCTTGGCAGAATCCTCACCCACTGCTGGTAATCCCCTATGATTTCTGCCTCCATCTCTACATATACTACTTATATCCATTCTTATCAGCAACGTCCACTACATAATAAGACTTTCAGATATACAACATCCTAGTCACTTTCATATAAATTTAGTTTTATCGCTGCCTTCTTCATCGTACATACACAGCGACTATTAAAACCATTAATTTTCAAACCGTTTTTAAAATTATAGAACTATGCTAATTCGTTGACATGATTTTATAGAAGTTGAAATGACTCCATAATTTTACTTATGTGGTTCGCACCAATCATGTTCATATTGGATTAGTTCTTTTGAAGAAAAATAAAGCTAATTAGGCGTTTATTACTCTGGACAAAATACCAAGTGAATAAAAGCCAATAAAATTTCCTTATCACCTCACGTACTCCCATTTCACATAGAGAGATGGTGACTATCTCGATGAAATAAATCTCTAATCTGTTTCTAAAGTGGTATATTTAAGCTAGTTCCAGCTTACATTAAAGTTGGTTGTAAAACTAAACAAGTTTAAATTAATGGCTTTTCTCGTCGTTCATCGCATAAAAAACCCAGCCGACTTATTATCAGAAATGAAAGCCTGTGAGAAATCGAATTCTACTCCTTGAACAAACTGAAATCCTCTCAACAGTCACATGCACGTTCGCGCAGTAGGCAATGAGTCTCACCTATTTTGTGAGGACTAGTAATGGTTACCCTAAGCCTTGGTAGGTGAGGTGGGGTTTCAAGTCGGTAACCTTCTGGCCGGAAATCGAATGTCTAGATCACTGGACCATAATATTGTGGTATTGCAACAAACTTTAATAGATGGTGTATTTCAGCGGCTTCATTTCAATTGCCAACGCTTGCATTATGTTTACTAATGAATTTCTATTGTAACTGTATCATTTGCTTAGGTGGAAATCACTGTAATCTTGTATAGGTAACTACGCATCTAAGTAGTAAATAGTTGAATTGCTGTTTTACCTTATGACTTTCAAACTAACCAATTTAATGGCGACTATCCATGAAACCTAATTCTGTTGATATTGAAAGACTGAACTGCAGATCAACACACTAGGTGACATGACATAACAGACTTACTTTAAATCAGCATAACATATCTGAGAGCCAATAATCACTCAAAATTATAATAAAGTGTAATAAGTATCTAATACCCTCTTATCACTGATTGGATGTAAAACATTTTCGGTCGGTTAATACACTGTCTGATTTCGAAATCTCTTCCATTGCTTTACAGCAAAGTACTAAGCAACAGTATCGAAAGATGAATCTTTACAAAAATATCTCTTAAGAATGAAAGTTTTAGTTACTTTTCACGATTGTGTGAATAACGAAGTGACGCAAAACTCAGAAAGTTTTAACATCCCATAATGTACGGTGGCATTCTATTATTCACATCAGATTCAGTTTTTCTTATCCATAATAAATGATAGCTCTCTTACGTCGAACAATACGTTTACTAGATAAAAACATGTCTGTCCATTGACATCAGATAGTCATTGTAGCTTGTTACACGTTCAGCATGGTATGTGATCAGTATAGAAATTGGACTTAAGTGATTTCTTTTATCCAATAAATTAGGCTGGACATTGTGTACCGATTAAAGAAAGCTAACAGTAACCATCTATATCACTTCGTATGTCTCTAACTACTACTTGTTTTGATGTTTTACCGTCTACGAATTCGTTTTGGTTGTATCACAACTGTAAAAAAAATGTATCAGAAAGCAGTATTCCATAACATCTATGTGGTGACCTGGCTATCATACTGATTCAGTCAGTTTAGACCAGCCGAAACATTTGTTATTTAGAGTTCCGTCATGCAAAGAGGATCAGTTAGGATGCGAATGCTTCAGTAGTGCACTCAAGTCATCTTAGTTTTGGCTATGTTAGAGATAACACATACTATAAGAGCTGTCTGGAAGCTAGTTTGAATTACGTAGGAGGTAACTTCTTCAAGTTAACAAGAAGGTTAAACAAGGTAGGCCGAACCCCTAGGTCTTACTTTTGACGAGTTGATTCTGTTATTGTAGTTGTGATCAGTTAATTGCCTAACCCTGGTGCTTTGCAATGACTGTTGTTCGAACCACTGAAGTATAAGACTCAAAATTGAAAATAGGTCTTAGACCTACAGTTATCGTTCTAGCGAATCAATAGAGACTTTCTTTGGTATCACGTGTATTGAGCTTAAATAGTGACCCGTTAACCCTGGGATTTAGGAGTTAATAACGCTCAGCCGGACTATCCATTGCGCGCACATGAAGAAATGTTCTGAATGAAGTTCACACCTCCATTTCCCGGTTCCACAGACCCAGGTGTAACGACTACTATTCCATGTAATATGAATATCTATCTAGTTACTAGTTGTGGAATATGCAACGCACTGGTACTGGTACTGTCTCTGACATAAAAAATGAACGATGTATCTCCGTGCTTTCACGTCTATGTGAGTAGGAAATGTAACACAAAGCTTCTTAATGTTTATTATTTCGACAATTGGAAAGAAGAAAAAATCAGATTCATTTTCTTGTACTATAAATGTGAATCATTTCATTCCTTCTTATTTGTCATTGTATTTGAAATAAAAGTTTGTAAAATGAATTGAACACATTGTTCTTCCCCTCTCCTTACTTATTTTCAGCTTATTTCATCTGACGAATGCACCTGCAGTTTGCCTAAAATGCTTACGAATCAGTCATTGTAGAGAGATAACAAGTGATGTCCTTGAAAAACTGATTACAGCATGTCCTAAGTAAGTAGCATTATCATTATTTGGTTGCTTTTTTCATGAAGAAAGCCAAGTTATAATAGTTAGATAGAGATAACTAGCCTTTTTCCCCACCTCCAGTTTGCAACTTTTTGATAATTTTTGAGCGAACCCACTTAGTAATAGTCGATTGTATTGTAACTGAACTGTAGTGTAAAGGTATCGTGAGTTTGTAAGCATGTACATGTACTTGTTAGTTTATCTTGTTCACAGTGAGTTGTTCTTCTGTGAGACAGTGTTTCAGTTAGCAAATGTTTCCTTGTCATGCTAAACATCATCGTTAATGTATCACAGCTTCACTTCCTTGAACACCTGTACCTCCTTGTGAAGCTGTTTCTGCAACAGCTCTTGGCACATTCTGATCAATCTGTGGACATTCTCACAGCTACAACACTAACGATCTCTCATTTCTTATTGTCGAGAATACATAAGATTAAGAAAAATGCATAATAAAGAGTATCATATCATATATAAACGCACCACTTGTTGCTGGTTTTCTACCTCTCCACGAGATCTGACGGCATTCAACTTATGGGATACCTTTCAAGGGAGTGGCATTAAGCTTAAAACCTAGGTTTTAGGGCTTTCTGCCAGTGTCGACTCCTACCATCCCTCTTCTGAAACTTGTGTTAGAAGACTTGCTTTACAACAGTTTTAGGTAGGAGAATTTTCATTATCGACTGTACTTTTTTGCAGGAGCTGTGACTCATTTACTCAGATAATCAAATTTCAACCACTTACATGTTCAGATGTCTGGGTTGTCATGCGGTACCATCAACCCTCATACAGCAGATGTGACTTACTGTCTAGTGGATGTTTGTGTATTATGGTTACTCTAAGAGAGAATTGTTTGTCCAGGATTCTAACAACAGTCTTTATCGATCAGTAGGTTGGGGTTGTGTTATTAATAAGGTGTTCTAAAAACCTTATGACAGAGGTAAAGAATTTTCAAAACATAAGAAATGGGAGTAGATGTAAGGTGAGGAATTGGTTAAGTGTTCTCACTTGACGTGTGAAAAGGAGATCAAGAATTAGAGAAAGATCAGAGTGATTGAGACCCATTTCTTATATCAATGAGATCACGAAAGTAGAGGAAGAAAATTGAAGACTATGGACAAGAGAAGGAATCATCAACATACTTCTACACAAATAAGTAGTTAAATGCGCTAGAGCGGATGATTTTTTTGACGAAGAGGATTTCGATGGAAGTTGTGTTCTGAATTAACCTGATTTGTTGTAGTATCGAAAAGTTGATTGACTTACAGTTACCACCTGATATAAGATAATGTTTCAAGATTGTGTTTAACAAGCACACACCTTTGTGCAACTGATATAACAAGTGACATCATAAGAACAATTGAATCTTATTGTATGGTCAGTGAAAAAAAATCTTTCATATTGCCATTGAATATGATGCATTGCAGTTGTGTAGTGGATGTTACTGACCAGAATGGATATAAGTAGTATATATTGAGAGGTCAGCAGAAGTCATAGGTAATTACAAACGATGGGTAAATATTCTGCACAGAGAAACGCAAGAGACAATGCGGGCGTATAAAGAGCAAAACGAGATAGAAAAGAAGAGGAAATGAAACACATTGTGCAAATGAATATTTTGATGGGAATGGTTACAATATTTCATCAGTAATGTACAAAATATCATAATAAACACTCTTCTGCGTTTCATCCTTTGCCGTTTTCTTACAGTAGTTAGTGGTCATCGTAGCTATTTCCTAATACTCAATCCGTCAATATCCATATTCTTCAAGTTAGCTTTCATTATTTAACGACATTATGAGACCTTTATGAATCATACACTTTAGTACTAAGTTATTATTATTACTGTATGTTTTAGAAGCAGTTAATGTATTCAACGGAATCATCTATATTATCAGCATACCTCTAAGCGCATACGTTGTATCTTTAGTATTAAATATGTAAGGACTAAGAAATTTGTAGACGAATTGAGTCCTACATGTATCGTGCTTAAAATTGACTACTACTACTGCTGCTTCTGAAGCCTTTAGGCTCTTTTTAACAACTTACAGACATGAAATTAATCTTATGAATTAATTAATTGGTCAAAACTAATCTCAGTGAGTCTTCGAATCATTCAGTGATAACAACCAATGGTTAGTAATTTCGACTTTTTTAATGTTACTAAATTGTAATCATTACTTTAGCGTAAAACATGCAATAGATATTCTGTAATCTAATTATATGCATCCATTCATTGTTTTTATTTAAATGTCTTTTTTTTCCTCGTGAAATATCTGTCCACAGATTAACATTGTTGTACGCCTATGGATTTGTTTCTATCGATGATTGGGGCTTCCTTCAAAAAATACGACCTACTTTATTAGTTGAACGAGGTATTTAACACTGCCTATCATAGACGCTTGTTTTAAACCTATTAGAAATATGGATCCTTTGACCACCTTTTTATCCATGATCGCTTATCATCATGCATAAACATGTGAAACAACAAATTCTACCTATTGTCGATTCTGTTCTATTTTGTTTCTTTCCGCCTTCTTTTTTTTATTCTCCTCAAATTCTGGAAGAATAAAACATAATAGTAATAGTGATAGTAGTAGTAATCACTAACCATTAGATGTAAAGAGAGTAAAAGCAAATCTACTCCAGTTGAAAATTGCAAGGAATCCATTTTGTGTATGATCTTCATCATCAGCTCACATACGTATATATATATATATATATATATATATATATATATATATATATATATATATATATATATCTTGGTTCCGGTGATTTACATTCTGTTCTTCTCGGTCGCGTTTTGCTTTTGTTGTGTTGTAACATCTACGTTTTATTTTTTTCCCCGCTCAATATTTCATTGATAGTGTTAATTGGAAGAGAAGGGTGAATGGTTTTTTGTGCTGTGTGTATGTTTGCATGTGTGTGTTACTTATACACCACCACCAGTCTATACTTATTTATACATATGCGTTTGTCTTCGTTTACCTTCCTTGTTGCATAATATTGTGACTAAAACCATTAGTGTAAAACTTGCTCTTCACATTCAGTAATAATAATGATAATATTTGCTTTAACCTTTAAATTCTAACAAGGATATCCATTTTCCATGATTTGATTTCTTCGTGTCAAGTGTAAGGAGCTTTTAAAAGTTACACCGGATATTTAAACTGAGGAATTGACCCAATTATACCTTTCATATGTAAAACCTGTGGAAGTAGAAGTTCCATCAACCACTCTTGTACTTCTCATCTGAAAGTAAAGTATAGTGTCGTTGCTTTCCTCCTCCCCCTCCAGGGGCGGCTACTTGTTTTCTTGCTTTTTGCCTCCTGGTAGTTTTATATTTAGTGTTCTCGGTTTCCTTAAAGGGAGTGAATACATAAAAACAGAAAATCGAAAACTGTATACATGTGTGCTTGATCTCAACTGGTTAGCGTGTTGTTGTCACGTTATACATTGTACTGTATGGTGTGTAGAAGAATGATTATTCTATCCAAAGAATACCTTTGAGCTATTTAAAAACACTATCCGAAATCAAATATCTAGTCCCGTTTGTTTATTCATTTACTCATAAGATTGTTTGTTTTTTTAAATATGAAAACAACAGTGGACAGTGTATAGAGCCATCTATTTCAACTTTAATCATTCGACTACAGTTTCTCTGTCAAACCGAAACTGATAGTAATGTTATTCCACGTTGATAATCTGACAACGCGCACCTTCCGTTACTCTCTTTTTTGTTTCGAGAATTATCTATTTTTTGTTTTCGCTATGTTCTTACCGATATTTAGTGAATAGTGCCGTTTCCCTCTTCTCTGTTCCCGTTGGATTTAGTGATTTTAATTACTGATTGATTTTAACTGGGAAAGGATTTTTTTATATCGAATAATTGCAGTCTACTCATCGCTAACACCATGTATCATTTCTTGCGTCTCCATTGACACCTACCTACATGTGTATGGGAGGGCCTATCGGTGTATACGTGGACGTTATCTGTGCACGTCTTATGCTTACATAGAAAGCATCTCAACACAATTTTCACATTATACACCTACCTGTTTCTCGGTGGTGTTTTTTCAGTTTCTTCTCTGTCTTCGGTAACTCTGTTTTTCATTACTGTTATTATTATCACTACCGTTGCCACTAAATGCTCACTTTCTTGTTTATATATATGGTATGAGAAACTGGTTGGTGTGACGCCGTGAGCTGTTTAACCTTTTTTTAGCAGCAAAAGAATAATATAAGAGAAAAGAAAAATCTGTTTACTTAGTTAACAAGATATGAAATCCCTTATTCCAACTGCAAAATTATTATTATTACCATTATCACTGTTACTATCATTATTATTGTGATCATTAACTATCGTTATGCATAGTAACACTAAATAGTCTTTCTGTTGTCCTGAAGGCGGCAAGAAATAAAAGAAATCAAAAAAATGCTTCCAAGTCTTATTGCTTAATAAATTAGCCTTTAAGATTCAACAACGAAAAGCAAAAGAATTGTTTTGTTCTAAAACAGCGCTTTGTTTGTATGATTAGGAAGAATGTTCGGTGTTTTATGTAGAACACGTTATCTAGTGCTTGAATTATATCAGACATAGAATTTTGCTATCGCTGTACAAGGTGTGAATGTGCTGAACTCCTCTCCTTGTATATTGACTATCTCTTTACGCTAACATAGGGATAGATCTGTGATCTGATTGAAGTGAAATAAGTTTTTCTCAAGTGTACTTATTGATTATGGTTTCGTCTAGTGGACACCATTTTTCACTTGACTTCTTTGGCAGTAGCCAACGATGTTAACATCACTGTTTACAATGTTATATTATAAATAAATTTAAATTACCAAATCAGTTGGAAAAATAAAAGACACTCAAGTTCAAAGACACAAAACGGAAGGTGAATATGGTGTGATTTCATCTAAAAGTGAAGTGAACTGTACAACCACGAATGTGAATACCAGTCAGACATAATGCGATATGATATGAATGAAGATAAGTAACAATGTTACGACAAAATAAAATGGATTGAAATGGAATAAAACAAAACTAGGGAAGAGCTAGTTTTATGAAGCATGTGTTCAAAATGCTTAATTGGGTTTGGGGTAGTGAAAGGAATTGTACAAACTGTTTCTGTGCACATAGTTCTGGTTTAAGATTATATATCATCAAGGCTTCTGCGATGCAAAATAGGTGTATGAGTGCACCCTTTTATAAGTTTGATTTGAACTTGTAAGTGGTGTCAAATGATGATTTGGAAGCTGCATAGTTATGGTCAACGACATGTCGACGAACGCCGTGAAACCTAAAGGTCCTGGGTTCGATCCCTAACCGGGTCGTGGGTGCGTACTGTTAAGAAGTCCCATACTAGGACGAGACAGCTGTTCAGTGCTCCCGGGTTTTCAATGGTTCCCCAACTGATGTCAGTCCGTAATGAATACCACCTCTATATTATCGTCTACTTCAACTCTTATGTAAGTGCAATTGTACAGCTTTTGAAAATAAAATCGTCGCCTCTAAAATCTTAAACTCATGTTTTAATGAGGATGGTTAAGTAAAATTGAAAATAAACTGAAGTGTAGCCTCATCTATCTGCTGAACAAAAAAGGAATGGAACTGTGATCGCTCCCACATAATACACGGTGCATACATTTCAGTACAGTACTAAACGTACTAATACAAATCAATCAGACTTCTATCTTATCTATTACTTGTTTTTTTCCCACTGACATTTCGCATAGGTTGCTTCATTCAAAGCTGGTGGATCATGGGGTTGAGTCCTGTACCACTTACCTAGGTCTATCAAGACAGCCAAGTAGTGTCACAAACCGTAATATACCTGGTATGACTTATTCCCTAGTACAGGAAGATGAACGTGGTTACTGAGTTACATTGCGTTGCCTAGATTGTGTCGATAGTGTCGTAATGTATAACTCTACGTTGGTGAGACACTTTGTAATTTAAAGGGAATATAGTCAAGTGAACTAAACAGACGTGGACGTTGGTTACGACTTACTTTCCGATCAAAATATATGTGTTTTAACGAAAAAAAATGAAAATTGGAGTCTCAGATTAGCGTTATCTGTCATATTCTTATTTATAGTGAAAGATAATCTACTTAAGGCTTATTTTAGAGTACTATGGCATAACTCACCTTAAGAACTTTTTACCAACCCTCTTTTATTCAACTCCGTTGAATCCATGCTAATTGAATTTTACTATTATGCATTTTCCTAATTTCTGTGCGTTGTGGACGTGTAGTTCAGTTGTATATACATACAGGTGATTCAGGTCACGTTAACGCTGGCCCAGTGATCAATTAATATCCGTTTTCTGTTTTACAGTGAGTTGTAAAGCAAAATACTTATAGTAAAAGGATTACAAATAACTCGTTTCGCCGACAACTCATTGGCAGAAGTGAAGTACAGTAGCATTCAGATAGTGTGGCATGTTGAATATCACAATCACGTGATCGTTTTGAAGTTATGTTTGCTCTTGGCAACTCAGACGCGTGACATCAACTCATACCAATTGATTTGTCGTTAAAACAGTTAGCTTCTGAGCCTCACTGCAATTTTAACAGACAAATGCAATTACTGGTATATACTATAGTGCTCTCGTCATGAATCTTACCTGAGACAACTATTACTTTCAACAAAAAATTACTAATCAGTTTAGTTTATACCTTGGAATTAAAGATTGACTTTGGAGGTCACCTTGACAACTGCTGAAATAATCTGTTACTTTTCTCTATTCCATGACAAACTATCTTCCTAACCGAAATCTGATTGTTTATTTCAGCAGTTGTAAGTATCCTTTGAAGTTACACCAATTGAGAACAACACCTTGTTCACTTCTGTTTAGGAGATAAAAATATGCGAAGCGTAGTTGCTGATCGTTTTTTGTGCTCATACAAGAAGTGTAGGGTTATTTCTTCTATGAAAATAAGGTTTAAGAAGCAATCATTGAAAACGCTCAAGGACAGCAGTCCTACTTTGTGCTCATTACTTTTGGAAACGGAAAAGTTACTTTAAAGCGTCCCTGATTTATTGATGTACCGATGACTAGGTTAGTAGTTGAATTAGTACTTAAGCTGGCGACTATGACCTTAATAAATCACTTTAATTAACTGGTGACTGAAACTCTTTTGTCCAGTTTAATATCATTCTTTTTTATCCACTTTCTACCTGCTGTTAAGTATGGATACTTGAACTTATGTTCAAGGTTCTACCTTGGTTTACCTGCTCGATCATTGATTTATCCACCACTCAAACTAAATGAAGAACAAATTGCTTGTACCACCGATACTTAATGTATACTCTCTGGTAATATTAAGATTTAAGAAATTCATCAATTAACCAGTGATTTTAAAAGTCACCCTAGCAACTACCGAGATAACCACTTACTTTCCTCTATTCTATCTGAAACTAACTTTTCAGCCGAAATTTGATTTGTTTATTTACCAGTTGCTAGGGCGCCTTTAAAGTTAATCGAATTAACACAGTTGCTTATTTGAAAAGAAGGTTTAATTTAAAATATTTGATTTTTAAATAACGAATGTATATAACAAGTAATTTGTGGGTTAGTAACCAACCGAGACATTCGTACTATTAAATAAGGTGTGTGCAGATATCTCTCGGTTTCTCTTTTAGTCATTATGGTTTAAGTTATGAAGAAAGTCTTCCTTTGGATATAAATAACTGAA